AAAAATAAAAATAAAAATAAATCCCCGAATAAGATCACTGTCTCTCCCCAAACGTGATGAAGATGAAGGAGATTCATCAAAAGTTGTTCTATTCAGTAGTGCTAGCCATGGCAGCATCCGCTTCTTGCATTCGCATAAACAGAGGCCAGATACAGCCGATATCACACAGACTTATCTCCACGCAGTGCCACACGACTTGACAAATATGAGCTTCGCACAAGATGAAAGAACAAACCAGTACGAGCATCGGACAAAAAAAAAAAAAAAAAAAACCTGAACACGAGAACACGAGAATACAGTCTCACGAGTCTACCAAACAACTAGATCTCCACCCCCAACATCCATCCACAGTGCACAAAAGTCGCCCCACCCACCAGATGGGAAAAGTAGGGCGCAATCACGGTATCAGTTTCAGATTGCAGTCTAGGCAAAACGCTAAAAATGTGGAACGTATACAAGCTAGCTTTAGGGTCAGGTACGGGTGTGTGTTATGTTCGAGTGATACGTGGAATACATTTTCAAACTGTTTTCGTGACTGTGCAAAAGTTGGCCCAAACCAGGGGATTGATTCATCACCCAACAGCTCCATGAAGGACACCATTCTTCCGCATACCTTCCTATGTGATTAGGCTCAGCGGTTGCTATGCTACCTCTCGACTGTCACCCATCGTTGATCCAAGACTATGTGATTAGGCTCTGCGGCTGCTACATCTCGACCGTCGCTCATCGTTGATCGAAGACTAAAAGAGTCACAAAACTGCTCTACCTCGCGCCTAAGTACTATCTTTCAGGAGGACTAAAGAACCAGATTCATCAGCCAGCAGCTGGACAAGAGTTCCTCATGCCTTGCCTAGCTGTCAACCTTAGGCTACTACAGTTACTTCTTATTCCACTACGTTCTCTGCCTGCTGCATCTTGCCTGTCACTCATCATGGATGGAAGACTAAAGAGTCACAAAACTGCTGCACCTCGCGCCTAAGTACTATCTTCAGGAGGACTACAGAACCAGATTCATCAGCCAGCAGATGGATGATGGACTCCGAGACAATAGTTCCTCATGTCTCGTCTCCTTGTCTAGCTATCAACCTTAGGCTACCATTATTATGCTTCTTCTTATTCCACTAGGAGGATCTCCAGCTGCCGCATATTGCCTGTCACTCATCATTGATGGAAGACTACATAGAGTCAGGAAACTGCTGAAGGTAGAAGTAAGCCCCCTCCAGAGTGTCCGGAAGGAGAAGACACAGCTGTAACAACAATGCTGTCTGTCGGGTGATAAAACCTGCAGAATTCAAAGCGACACAGCACAAAAGATCCGAGAATACAGATCCTTCGGGACATCCGTTAAAATTGGAATGGCACAGAGAAGATTAGAATAGGCCCTGCGCAAGGATGACACGCTCGGTCCAGCTAGCTAGGGACCCCGCGGAACCACCATCGGGATCACCAGGCATGGCTGCGTAGCACGAGAGCATCCATCCAGTCCCTTACCCTGGCCTAGCGAAGAAGCGAACGGAGGTGGAGCCAACAGTGCAGCGCAGGAAATCAGACCCAAGCAGGCCCAGCTAGGAACAAAGCGGCCTGCCATCCATCAAGAACGATGACGTGTCTCCCCCAACAGCATGACGTGGCAACACGCATCTTCGTCCACACTCTGACCACCTCGCGCGGTCAGATCCACGGGTCGTACCCACAATGCAAGCTTCGCTTCCACTCCTTTCCCCTCCCTTGAAGTCCCTGTTCCTCCCCTGTCATCCCTTCGTCTCTCCCATTAGTAGCAATAGGTCAGTTCCTCCCTTACTCCCTCCCATTGGTCCCATAGATCAGTTCATCGTCTCTCCCGTTGGTCCCAATACATAAGTTCTTGTCTGCCATTGGTCCCAATAAACCAGTTCCACCTCTCTCTCGTTGATCCCATCAGATCAGTTCCTCCTCCTCCTCCTCCTCTCTCTCTCTCTCTCTCTCTCTCTCTCTCTCTCTCGTTAATCCCAACAGATTAGTTCCCCTCCATCAGTTCCACCTCTCCCCCTTCAATCCCAACAGATCCCAACAGATCAGTTCCACCTCTCTCCCGCCAATAGATCTCAGTGTCGTCGGTGCCAAGAGATGAGGGAAACAACCTGCATTGGAGACAATCCCCACCCACAGACCAGTAAGACCACGTCCTCCTCCCATCGGGTTCCCAACGCATGAAGGGACCAACGTGCGGTAAACAAGATCGCGCCTTACAGACCCACGCGTCAGCTCCACCTCCCATTGGTCACAATAGATCAACCTCGTCCGTCCCAATAGATGAGCTAAACAACCTTTAATATATTACAGTTGTCCTCCCCGCTCCCTCCTTCCCTCCTTCCCCCCTTCCCTCCCCCTCTCGCTCGAGTAGATACGTCACCATCCGTCCCCCCCAAGGCTCTCGGTCGTCCTGGTCCACTTCCCCTCCTGCTCCGCTTTGATTAGTAGACGATCGATCTTTGCCACCCTATATGCAGGGCCGCCTATAACACCACCTCCTACCCCGAGCATGCCGTGAATTGTAGAAGCAAATAGGCACCTACCATAAACCTTCAGCATCATACTCACCCTTCATGCAGCCCTTCATGGTGACATGCAGATCTTTCCTAGCGGCCTGCAGTGCTCTTAACCCCTCCCCAGTCAAATAGCCGCAATACAACAGAGACAGAGATCGCAAGTTCGGCATCCCCCTGCCAATCACATCCAGAACAGTATCTGTGACTTGAGCTCGCTTGAGCACCAGGCATTCCAAATTAGGTAAGTGCTCTATTATGAATCGAATATCATCAATGTCGATCTTCAAGACCTCAGAACTAACCACAGTTCCTACTTCCGTGCATCGTACTGCTGACACATCAAGGTACAGAGACACTAGGTTGGGAAAACCAGATATCAAAACCCTAACCATTTCGGTGAACTCTTCTCGGCAATGCACCACCCAAACTACGAAGAAGATATTGAGAGATCGAAGCTGACGACACCCCTGAACAAAAAGTTTGATCGAATCGATCGAAGGCGAGAATGATTTATTGAGAAATGTCAGATCACCTTCCTCAACTTCATCAATCTTGACCTTTTCAAGAAGCGGGCAATGCTTGCCGATGTCCTCTAGCAACCAATCGTTGCAAAATCGGATTGAGAGGCTCCTCAGCTGACCCCTGCTGCGCCCAATGACGGCTCTCGGTGCTCTGACGGAGATCTTCGCCTTCACGTCCATTAGATCCGCTTCTCTCCAACAGCCAGGATCTAAAGACGCGCGCCACCATTTCTGGCACACGCTTCCCACCATTTCTGGCACACGCTTCCCGCCCGAAATCTTTCCCGAACAGGAAGGAAGCTCAGGACAACCGTAAGCAGATCCGTTTGCAGACTTGACCAATCGGGTAAGAGCCGTGGTGGTAAATCATCGACCTTCTCCAAATTCCCACACCGCTCGGCCCATCTGGCTTCAGGCCTCCTCGCCATCGCCATGGAACCTGGTGTCTGATGACTCTTTCCTTTCGCCTTCGCTTCTACCCTCCCCTCCTTCTGTACATCTCTCTCCCTTCCAATCCACTTTCGGGCCCTATCTTGAACCCCCTCTATCTGCCTCTCACTGTCCCATCATGCTCCCCCGCTTCGGAGTCCCGCCTTTCCTCCATATATTTTAGACTAAGATCCCCTACTCTCTCTCTCGCTCTCTTCCTCTCTCTCTCTCTCAAAATACCTCCTCGTCGCAATTAAATCCGGCCTCGTTTCCTACAAAAAGCGTTTCTCGCTCTCTCTCGCGCTCTGGCTCTCTCTGCGTATGTACTGCGGAGTCAGGTTGAGATCTTGGGCATCGCTCCCCTACACTCCACATGCACAAACACTGAAACCATGGTGAAGTTTCCAATCCAACCTCTAGTCTAGGGGGAAGATTCACTCTCATTTTCCACATTAAATTTGGAGAGTCGAGCGAGGCCCGTCAGTTCAATGACGGGCTCCAGGCAATTTACAATCATTGCATTCACCCAAGAGCCTACGTAGGTGTTGAAATGCAGACCCGTCTGCGAATCCAGATGACGGATTCTTTTATTGTATTTTCTTGGAATGAAGGAACTTTATGGCCTAGAATCATTTCATTCACCCAAGAGCCTACGTAGGTGTTGAAACGCAGACCCGTCTTCGAATCCAGATGACGGATTTTTTTTTTTTTTTTGAAACAACGGCGGACGCGGCAGGTTTTGAGTTCGAATAGGCCGAAAAAACACGAAATGGCACAGACCGAAGGGGCCTAGTTCGAAAAGGGAAAAATAACTGGGAGGAGCGGTAATGTCAGGCCCCCAGTTGGAAAAAGCGGTAATGGCAGGCCCGACGCGGTCCCATGCGGTCCCATGCAGTCCCAGGCCGTCCCGGCATCCCCCACCCGCGGACACGATCCGTCCCCTGTCGAGGTAGGCTGTCCCAGCTCTGTCTGCCAGTCGTAGGCCAGCCATCGGACACATTTTGAAATCGGGCGGGAATCCTCCCGTGGAGGTAGGCAGCGTCCTTCGAATCTCCCGCCGGTGGTGCAAGGCCGGTGGATGTTCGTGGTGCTGGAGCAAGGCGTAGTGCGTCGACGGTGGCCGCCATATCTCTTCCTCATCTTCCTGGCTAGCGCTCCGCGCCAAAGGTGGGCCCCATACTTGTCCTTCTCCTACTGCGCCCGTCACCTTTATCCGTCCTTGTGGTTGTGGTGGACATCCTGGTGTACCCCTTTGTCGTCATGGGTTTTTGGAGGATTCAAAGAGAGGGAAGGGGAAGACGAAGAAGGGAAGGATGAGGAGGTGGCTGGCCTATGACTGGCAGACGGAGCTGTTGTCGTTTTTGTCGTCTTGCTTGTTGATGATGTTTCCCGTTGCCCACGTCAGAGTTCCCCACCTTTTCTGTAATGTTCTTCCCCCTCTTCCCCCTCGTCTCTTCGTCTCCTCCTCGTCCTCCCCATTGTCGTTGGTATCCCCTTCCTCCTGTTCCCCTTCGTTCTAATGCATGGTCTTTTGGTTACGTTTCCCCCTCATCGCTTTGTCGGTTCGCCGTTGTCGTCGTCGTCGTCATTCTTGTTAATAATGTTCCCCATTGCCGTCGTGAAAGTTCCCCACCGATGTCATCGTCCTCCCCTCCTTGTTCTTCCCCTCGTTGCGATGCATGGTCTTTTCATTTGTCGTCACCCTCTTCTCTTCTTCCTGCCACCGCTGTCTTCGTCATCGCGGTTTTCGTCATCATGTTCCCGTTGACGTCTCGGTATTTGGCCGACGTGTGATCAATCAGCCGTTCGTCACCGCCGCCGCTCTGGGAAGTGTGATCGGGGGTTGTACCCTCCGTCGTGTTCCCCTTCCTCAACTTCCCGTCCTTGGTATGTCCATTTGTCCTCCCGTTTCTCTTCCCCGGCGTTTGTTCTTCCTCCCATCACTATCGTTATGATGGCCTTCCTGTTGATCTAGTTTCCCGTTGTATCTTTCTGCCACGTGCGAACGTCCGTGGTTCGTCGCAGAATGGAAACAAAAAAAGGGCATGTCTGATCGCATTTGATGTTTTCCCCCTTCATATTTTGTCTTTCCGTCAATATGTTTTTTTTGTTGCGGCACAGGCGCACTTACGTTTCCCTCCTTGTTGTGACATCTTTTCGTTGATATATTGTTTTGCCCTTTGAACGACGGGCCGATGACACGTGGCAAACAGGCAAACGTTGAAGACGGCAGCAGGAAAGTGCCCTATCTAGCACGTGTGATCAGCCTATCTGCCACGTGTGCTCGGCCTGTCTGCAACGTGTGATCAGCCTGTCGTTCATTTTTTGTTTAACTTCTTTTTAGTAAAAACGTTATCGGCATTTTTGTTCGTCGATATATTGTTCTGCCCTTTGAACGACGGGCCGATGATATGTGGCAGACAGGCGAACGTTCAAGACGACAATGGGAAAATGCCCTGTTTGGCACGTGGGATTCGCCTATCTGCGACGTCTGATCGGCCTGTCTGCAACATGTGATCAGCCTGTTGTTCATTTAGGAGAAACAAATGGAGAAATGGAAATGCCATGCAATACAACGACGGGAACAAGAGGAAGGGGAATACGTGTGATCGGCGTTTTTGTTTTGCCTATTGCTCATCCTAGGGGGGAAACAGAAAAAAAAAAAAAAAAAACCGCATGACATTTTTTTTTTTTTTTTTTTCCCTATTGGTGTGCCGTCTTTTTGTTGATATATTGTTTTGCCATTTTAACGACGGGCTGATGACACGTGGAAGACAGGCGAACGGTGAAGAAGGCAATGTAAAGTGGCATGTCAGACACGTGTGATCCGCCTATCTGCCACGTGTGGTCGGCCTGTCAGCAACGTCTGATCAGCCTGTCGTTCATTTTTTTTTAACTTTTTATTCATAACAAAGTTATCCCCAGTCGTTGCTTTTCCTGACGGCTTGTCTTTTTTTTCCCTTCAAGTTCTTCGAGACGGCCATTTAGGCCACGACACCGCTCCGATTTTTTGTTTTCCCCCTTCATATGTTATCTTCCCATCAAAATGTTGTTTTCCCCTTCAACGAGGGGGCCGATCACACGTGGCAGACAGGCCAGCGTGGCGAAAAATGGGAGGATAAAAGGAAATGCCATTCAATGGAGGGGAAGAGGAGGAAGGGGAACACAAGTGATGGGGCTGTTTGTTTTCACCGTTGTTCATCGCAGGGGCAAAAACAACACAAAAGAGCCACGTGTGATCAAGTTTTATTATTTCCCCCTTGATATGTTAGATATCGTGGGTTCCCCCTCGAACAAGGGGCAAATCACACGTGGCAGACAGACCGACGTTAGGAGAGACGGGAGGAAAACCGGAAATGCCATGCAATACAACAACGGGAACAGAAGGAAGGGGAACCCGTGTGATCGGCGTTTTTGTTTCAGCAGTTGTTTGTCGCAAGTGGAAAAAAAAAAAAAAAAAAAAAAAAAAAAAAAAAAAAAAAAAAAAACGCATGACGTTTTTTTTTTGCCCCCCTTCGTGTGCCATCTTATCGTTGATACATTTTTCGCTATTTCAACGACGTGCTGATGACACGGGGCTGACAGGCAAGCGTGGAAGATAGCAACGGGAAAGTGCCCTCTCTGGCATGTGTGATCCACATGTCTGCCACGTGTGATCGCCCTGTCTGCAGAGTATAATCAGCCTGTCGTTCATATTTTTTTAACTTCTTTTCGTACCAAAATTAACCCCTGTCATTGTTTTTTTCTAACGTTTTTTTATAATTTTTTTTTTCTGAGGACACGGCCATCCAGACCACGACACCCCACGGATCATGGACAATAAACGACATTCAACGACATATTAAGGGGGACAACAGAAAAGTTGATTACAAGTCGATTTTTTGTTTGTTTCCCCATTGATATGTCGTCGAATAACGTTCCGTGAGTTTCCGAGTTTCCGATGGGTGACTGTTTTGATAGACAAAACTCGATCACATGATCTTTTCGGGAAAAAAACTGTGGAATAAATGACCGTTCTGGAAAAAAAAAAAAAAAAAAAACGACGAAGGAAAGGAACGATGGGGGAACTATTTTTTAAACAAAGAATGACGATGAACGACGGGAAGATCAGACGTGGCTTTAATAGTGTTATTCTCGTTGGTAAGTTGTACCGTTGTGAGATTGTTACATTTATTTATGTGTGTAATCCTTGGGCTGCGAGCATGGTAAGGATAACTACTTTTGTTTTTCTTAATTATATGTAAAATTTTATATTGTTTAGCTATATAAAGTGATGTACGTGAGAGCGAGTACGTATTTCGTAAATTAATTTTTAGTTCTTTTCGTGTTCGCTTATTGTACTAATGATGGTTAGCTATGTCCACAAAACTTTCTTCCTTCGTTTTTTTTAATTTTAATTTTATTTTAATCCACGAAGGTCTTGATTGAAGTAGCATGTATCCTTGTTCGCTTACGAACTTGGCAAACCTTTTCAAAACTTCAAGTTTTCTCTAAAGACCCTAAACAGACTATGATAATCATTTACTGAACGACATCTGCTTCCAGTGGAATTGGAGCTGATATCCGTGTTTCGACAATTGTTACACACGTACGAGATGAGATATGCCTGTCTCTTTCTTTTTTTTGGGCGGATTTTGTCCTACTTTTTATGACCGGCGTGTGATTTCTTACGGGTGCTCGCATTGGCCGACCTCTGCTGCGGAGGGGGAAAAGAGCGGGCAATCTGGTTAATAACATCACACCGTTACTTTTCCATCTCTCTAATACTTTTTCTGCCACCATTCCAATTCGCTGCACCTTCCCCCCCGCCATTGCAGTGATTGGGAACCGCCCCCTCCCTCGTTTTCCCTTTTCTCTTCGCCAAGTCTTCATAATGCATTGTG